AGATTTGTAGCTCGGATTGCTGACATGGTCTTTGACTTGCTCGTTGAGCTGTTAAATTTGGTTGCAAATCTTTCGTCACCGTACTAGGTAACACCATCAGTGCGCCTCCAGTGAAACGTCGGTGTTCTATCCTGCTTGTTATTTATGTGTCTTAGTTTGCTGGGGTGGGTGGCATCACTCCGGATTTGTTTCTTAGTGGTTGGTATATGGGGTCCAGCTCTGCTGCTTCGCAGCGCTAGGGACCCAGGTTCAATTCCACCCTCGGGCGACTGTCTGTGTGGAGTTTGCACATTCTCCCCGTGTCTGCATGGGTTTCCTCCGGGTGCTCCGGTTTCCTCCCATGGTCCAAAGATGTGCAGGCTAGGTGGATTGGCCATGCTAAATTGCCCATAGTGTTCAGGGATGTGTAGATTAGGTGGGTTATAGGGGGATGGGTTTGGGTGGGATTCTCTGAGGGTCGGTGTGGACTTGTTGGGCTGGAGGGCCTGTTTCTACACTGTAGGGATTCTATTTCTAAAACACACAGAATTCCTCATAGAAATATTGGAAAATTAGGAGCAGGAGTAGGCTATTCAGTCTATAATGTTATTTTTCTAATGCAGTTATAAACCAGCCACATCCTACCATATGACAAAAGCCCAGTTATCCCTCTGATCTGCTAAACCCAAATATGGTCCTAAATTTCAAAGCAGCAAGTATACCTTACCTACTGTTAGGTTATTACCTTGATTCCAGACCAGACAGGCAGTGCACTTTTTAAGACTGTTACATGACATCATGAAATATGATGTTCCAGTATAAATGTACTCACCTCACCTTCAGTCATTCTCTCAGTATAATGGAGTCAATGAAGTGTGTTCAGTTAGTCAATTACGTATATGTAACATTAGTACGCATAACGCCCAACAATGTATAAGTCTGATATAGCAATGAAAATAATTAGCATCGTTAATTAACTTAAAGACATCTGTCTCAAAAATAACTTGAATTTTGTGCTCTGTGCTACACAAGCTTATGTTTAGGACAGCATTCGGACATATACTGACAGTGGTGTTTGGCCCAAGAAACCGTGCATTGTGGCACATAACATACTGCCTTCCTTGGCAATGTAACTTCACAATGAGGCAAGAAATGAAAATTTATACACATTTAAAAGACCGTGCAATTATATTCAAGTTCACTGAATGAGAGAACTTTGACTTTGTATAATAGTGCCTCCTTAATTCCCAATTGCAAAGCAGAAGAAAAAATTCAGGTTTCAGGTCTTCCAGAGTGTGGGTACAGTTCCAGCTACTGTGCAGAATTTAGATGAGCTGTTCATAAGGTTGTGAGACATTGTCTTCCTTATCATTTCCTGTTTCTTTACAACAGAGAAACATTCAGAAACTCTGGGAGGTTTGAAAAGACGCATGTATTAAACACACAGAGGCTTGATAAATATATTTTCAAGTGCAGCACTGAATCTTTATGGGAAAGTCCATTTAGCTGCTCACTTTGAACATTAGGGAGAAAGCTCAAAAGCCAGCAACCATTGTGCCTATGGTTCAGTTGGCATTGCTAATCTGCAAAAGAGGTAGATGTGCTTCTCAGCTACCTTGTGGTGTAAAACTTTCTTAAGGAGCATTAATGGGCTTATACCAGGTGTATTTGTAGAGGATTGGGATGAATATTTCAAAACATCACCATTCACTGTAATTCAGGCCTCAAAATATACAATTCCTGTAATTGTATGCCAAAATAATCCTGAAGTAACAAAATGGGAATCACAGGGTTTTCTGACTAGCTTATGAACGTATTAATGATGACAAATAGGAAAAGAGCCTTTAGATCATCAAGTCTGTCTAACACAAATATTTTGCCTTGTGCATTACAACCAAATGCAGACCGCACCCCAGCTAAAATCATGTGATCTGCTGGGAGAGGCAAAAAAAACACATAAAAACAGAGGTTAATTTTAGGGGAAAAAATTTGGAAGTACCTTTCCAAACATGATAGGTAGTGAAAACTAGAAATAATGTGGCTTTGATTTTTCTTTGAAGTACCTAGCATATTGAAAGAAGAAATGCTTTGCCTTGTCAGAAACAGATCAAACTCATATTTAAATGAGTTCAGTGAATCCATATCCATCACAAATACAAGTAGCATGTTCCAAAGATGCTACTTTGACTTAAAGTATTCTCTTAAAGAACCACCTCCTCACCTGTAACATTAACCTAGCTCAATGCAAATTTTGACTCCTACTGTATTTGCATGACATGAGTTGTGTATTAGGAATAAGATTCCAATGTCAAAGATCATTCCATGGCCCTCCTTGGTGAAGTCCTCAATGTCCTGTTGTAGGGAGGACTATGCTAAACCACCATTTTGTGTTGTGAATACTCACACTACAAAGGACCCCAGTTCTGTTTCTGATCTTCTCCACATAGATTGATTAAAAACATGACCAATGGATGCAGCCACGACAAGGATTATTATCACTGTTGCTGTGATGTAATGAAGGCACAGAGAAATGGATGAGGAACAGATACACCAGCAAGCCCAGGATCAGCAACAACCTCTAGAGACTGCCAAGCAGCTACCACATGAAGAGATCACAGTTGAAGGTCCCTTCAGGGTGCAGAGGAGGTACAGGAAGCCCAGGTTCTATTGTTTTCATTGCTATTTCCTCCAGTTCAGCAAGCTGCAGTGCTGCTACAGACTAAGGATGTCCCAGGACAATGTCACAGGACTTTGCCAAGGGGTGGAGCAGTACCTGTGTCCTGAATGGGTGGTTGGACATCCTATCACATAGGTTGTCAAGGTGACAGCTGGGCTAAACTTTCATGATGTGGAGATGCCAATGTTGGACTGTGGTGGACATGGTCAGAAGTCACACAACACCAGGTTTTGTCCAACAGGTTTATTTGAAATTACAAGCTTACAAATTGTTGCTCCTTTGTCAGGTCCACTTCACTTGACGAAGGAGGAGCACTCCAAAAGCTTGTGATTTCAGATAAATCTGTTAGACTATAACCTGGTGTCATGTGATTTCTGACTAAACTTTCATACATCCGGTTGATTCCAAAGATTCACAGGGAGTACAGTGAAGGGTCTCACAGCACTTGGCTTACAGATGTGTTAAGGCAGTGCAGTTTGTGTCTGATCATATCAATTCATCTCACTTCCCATGACAAGATCAGTGCTGCATGGCTGGCAGTAAGCTTTGCCAGCATAACTTGCTTTCCCAGGTGTAGGGCACAATCGACTGTAAGCATGTCACATTGAGAGCACCATATCATAATGCAGCTGATTTAATCAATGTACAATTCATCTGTAATCATTGGTATCTCACCTTACACGTCTGTACCAGGTCCCCAGAAGCTGCCATCATGCACCTATCCTTCAGAATTCTCATGTTCCTGCTTTATTTCAAGGACAAGATGCCTTACAGAGATGGTTACCAGAAACCATGGGAGATGACGGCCACCATCTGCAACCTCAGCTGCTGTCTCTGTTGTATGCACCCCTGACTGAGGCTGAATGGAGATACACTGCAGCCCACTCTTCAATTAGAGCTATCATGAAACAGATGATAGGCTTGCTAAAGTTGAGGTTCTGATGCTTGAAATGGTTTGGATGGACCTTAAGACAGATTGTGCCATATAATCCTAGCATACTGTGCTCTGTAGAATTGGAGCAGGCAAAGAGGGGAGGTGATGGACTCTGAAATCCCAGGAGTGTGGCAGCAGTCATCTGAGAAGGAAGATGAGCATATTGTGCAGAAGGAACAGCACTTTCTGCATTATGCAGTGCTGCAGTGTCCAATGCAACAAGCTTGGATAGATGTGAAAGATTTTGTGATACTATTTTAAAGATTTGGTAAGTTATCACTGATCCCCTGGCCAAAATTTATCCCTCATACAGCATCACAAAAAACAGATTAACTGGTCATTTTCACACCACTTTTTGGGGAGTTTGCTGTACCTACATTAATGCTACCAATCCTATATTACTACAGTGACTACACTTCACAAATACTCAATTGGATGTGAAGACTTTGAGCTTTCCAGTGATCATTAACAGCTCTATATTGGTGGAAATATTTTCATTTCACATTAAAATAGAATCACAAAGGCCAGAGAGATTCTCTTCTCTAAAGCAGATTAATGAGTCAGTTGTAAGACCATGAGATGATAAAGCAAAGCAAGCTGTTCAGCCCATCGAGTCTGCTCTGCCATTCAATGAGATCTTGGCTGATCTGATATTCCTCAACTCCATTTTCTCCATAACATTTAATTCTCTTAATATTTTCTTAATGACAATTCAGCTGCTTTTTTGATAGCCATTAAGAATCAGCAGGTTTTTAAATATAACCACAAATGACCAGGTTTATTAATTTTAACATTATAACTCACCTCAGCATGATCTGAATTAGAGTACTGTAACCATTAGGCTACCATAACCTCTCAAACAGACTTCACTTTAAAAGTAGCTGATAGCTTCTATTATGATGCTGTCCTCTAAGGCAGAAAGCCATAATTAAATCAATTTAGTACAATATAAAAGATATTTACTAAATTGCAGGTTAGAATTTGTCATATTCAAATAAAGATCCCAATTAAAATCTTTATAATATTATACATCTTTAAATTTTAAAGACCCTAAATATGACAATACAAGATTGGTAGTTGAAACAGCAAAATTTGGAAAACATTCAATTATGAGCAGTCTGTGTATAAACTTCTATTTTAAACTTTTCAAAATGTAACTTTTGATAAAGGAGGAAGAATCATTCATATATTTTCGAACTATTACCGTAATGATATTTATCCTCAACTTGGCATCTCTAAAGATGGCAGATTGGGAGCGTAGATGCAGTGGTTTGGTGTGAAAAAGCACAATTTTCCTGATATCAATATTTCTAGTTGTGATAATGTATTATTTATGTTTAATTATTTGGAAGTGGGTATTTAACTCGTGATTCCATTAAAGCCCTACAAAGTAGTGGTTATGAGGTGAGGACGTTTATGCTTGTCATATGAAACTCTAAATAAATATAAAGCTAAGTGAAGTTTAGCTTGAGTTCTATCTCATACCAAATGGCTTTCTGGACTCTACCAACTGTAGCATTAAATAATATAATTGGCTGATAATCTTCAAATTAACAATCTTGACTTTGGCATTGCAATGTTAGATTCAGAGGCGTGATTGGATTTAAATACATACTTTACCCTGTTTTGAGACCAGTTATGTTAATGTCTAAATTCAGGGATCCTAATCCAACTATACAACCAACAATATTTAACTGGTGGCATTCGCAGTTAACTCAGTCATGGGCTCAGAAGCAAAGTATCACTTTTCTGGGGATCTTGACCACCTATTTCTTTCCTTAAATCCTTAAATCCTGGTCTGTACCAGACATTTACTCTTTTTAGGATTAACAACACATTAATTGATTTTGTTAGCAGCCCATTCCACATATTGATTCTGTAAGGAAAATATGAATTCCAGTTTGCAACTTATACTCTTTTTGATGTTTTATATTCAAGTTCTCTACTTCTGTGAGCACAGCCTGAGTGAATCACACAAACTTATGGAAAATACAACTTCTGAAGACTTGAACAACAAGAAACAAATTTTGTGTCAGCTAAAGTAATGTCACTGACTGGCCACGATCTGAGGGAAATAAGATTTGATATGTGTGGAATCATCTTCTAGGTGCAGTAAACAATCAACAAATTCATCTGGTAGTAGAGTTTGCTCTTGAAGTAGTCCCTCTGTTATATATGTTCTGTGATGCTCATTGACTGGGAACTGATCCTCTTCCTTCTTAAGGATGTAATTTTGATCATCTTGTTTTCCATTATGGTTGGATGCCAAATCTGTGTTTAAATCTAGAATTCCATCGATAGTGGAAATATCTGGAAACCTGTCAAAACCTGGAGTGCTGAGCTCTTTGTATACTTTAACTAGATTATTTCCAGTGTTTGGAATTGATTCATCATCATTAGGTGATAAAACTACCAATTGGCATCTGCTGGATGCTTGAGGCTTGTAGCCCATAATTTCTGTGTCTTCATTTGGTTGAGACAGACCAGAATTATGAGCTTCTGAAATATCTGCAATTGGGTTCTCAAAAGTTGCTTTTTCTATTTGTTGTTTAGAGTTTCTATGCACAGTTTGGATGAAGCTTTTGTTGGTTCTTGGGAGCAAAGTTTCTTCTACTTCTGTTATTGGTGGATCATTATATACCAACAGTGCTGCAGTATGTAGAAAGGGAACTTCATCTTTTCTCTTTAATGGAAATAAATGAAACATTAGATTAATATCATGATCTTTCAAAAGGTTTGCTGAATAAGATATAGAAAAACACCCTCTTATAGCTTAAATGTAGATTTGCTTCATTTAGTGAATACCTGACAACAACTTTCCACTCATGAATTGAATAGTTTCATTTTCGTTTCACTTTTAAGCAAAATCAAAAGTTTTATAACAGGAAGCCTGCTGAAGGTTGCTACTCTCAGCATTTTTATTTTTTTACTTTTATTCAGTTGGAATCTGTAACATGCTAGCTAGAATCAAAATCTCTAGAGGTGAGATGGAAAAGCTCAGCAGGTTTGGCAGCATCTGTGGAGAGAAATCAGAGTTAACATTTTGGATCCAGTGACTCTTCCTCAGAACTCTATCATAATGAATAGTCAGCTTGGATTTCAAAAGGAAAGGTCTTACTTGATTGAATTCATGCTTGATTCATTTAATTATTCAAAGATGTAACAGAATAGACAAAGATAATATAGTAGATACAATATATCTCGATTTCCAAAAGACCTTTGATGGAATAAAGAGTAGATTAATGAGTAAGGTCAGAGCAAATGCAGTCAAGGATGAATAGCAGAATGGATAACTTACTGACTGCAAGACAGACAAAAGTGAGCAGAGTAAAGGGTTGCTATTCCCAGTGGAATTTGGGAAGTAAAGCCCCAGAAGAATCAATGGTGAAAGTGTTGTTCTAAACTATTTATATTAATGATTTAGACTTTGGAATCAGAAACATAATTTCTAAATTTCAAGAGACACCAAATTGAGTGGTGAGAGGACTGCAACAAATTTAAAAAAAGACATTTATGCATTTGTGAAATGAGCATAAAATTGGCAAATGAATTTCAATATATATGTGTGCGGTATTTTCATAATACATAAATATCGTCAAATTTACTTAGAGACTAAAAGTTTAAAGTGGAGAAGAAAAGGGATCTCAGTATACAGTTAAACAAATCATTAAGAGCTGAATTTTCTATGAAACCATAAGAACTGTACCGTACTCCTTAGCCAAAATGGTTTAGGACTTCTATTCCAGAAGTCCCACCCTCAAACCTGCACCCTGTCCACCTCTCCATTTTCACTGGTGCCATGGGGGAGGCAGGGAAGATATGTCATACACCCATTCCATTTAGAGGGAGCTGCATTTTTAAAGGACCTTCAAATCAAAGTAATTTTCATCAGTCAGCTCTCTGAAATTCAACTCATGGGCTTTGGACATTTGAAGGAAAGGTCTAAACCTGCTGGAGTTATTTAGAGAAATAGTGTACTTTGGGATTGTTAAGATCAGGGATGAATGTGCACAAAACTTAGATAAGGTTTTTTGGAACTGTTAAGCTGTCAAGTCATTTAAATATAGTGCCCTTTAAATTCTGAAAAACAGCCAGCCTTAGGTTGAGAAAAATCAGTGCTCACAATTTATCTAGCAGTTTGTCGATATAAGCTTGAGAGCTATCACTGTGTTAGCAGTACCTGACTGCTTCCACAACCTATCATTATCATACTGATTTGTTTTTTTACCAACACCAAGTGGTTAGAAAGAGCTTGAACCACTTTGGTTCAGGCCACACAGTAAAACTCTGGCTGCCTCTGAACTCTTTCTGGGGTTGGTGGGCCCAACTCTAATTAGTACCAATCAACGTCCACCGCCATTTACCCTGATCTGTTTTGCCCTCCCAATCTTATATTGAAGGCTTTTACCTTAAGTACGTTTGTACTAGATGAAGGGATACTTGTGATAGCTCACGTAGACACAAGAACTAGACACGAGTCATGTAGAACTGAAAGACTCAATAGATGTGAATTATAGCACCTGCTACCTACATACATTACAATCATGGGCATTACTGTGTCTGGGGGCTAGAACTGAGCAATTTGGTTACAAACTGTGGCACAATACCATCAGGATATCATGCTGTACGTGGCCCTAGTAAAATAGAGATTGAGACCTTCATGGCATGGTGATGATATCATGAGCATGTCTCTCTTAAAGTTCTATTGCATAAATGCCACGAGACACAACAGACAATAAAAATGTCAAGTGACCAGAAGGACATTCCAAAGTAGTCAAATAATGGGAGCTGAGTGTTCTAAATGTAAGGGAGATCTCATTATGTGAAACAAACATAATATACATACAAAATTGAAATAAGCACAAGTAAATTGCTGCTTCAGCTAGGAGGAGTGTTTGAGACCTTGGATGCTGAGCTAGAAGAAGGTAACAAGGCAGGGATTTGCACCTTCTGTAGTTGAATAGGAAGGCACTGTGAGAAGAGAGTGTTAGACTGAAGAGTGAAGCAAGATGACACAGAGAGAATGTTTAATAAAAACAAATAAATAACAAATAAATACAATGCAAAACAAAAATTTGCAACTTGCAATTGCTGATTAAGAAATACCAAGCTTCATTTTCTCCTAAATAAAAGTTGGCAGCTTACTATTTCCTCTTTTTGCTCACAAGGTTCTGTATTCTAGTGTCACACTGAGGCTTGAGTGCAAGATCAGGGCCAATATTCCGGGCAGTACTGAATACTGCAACGTTGGAGATGCTACATTTTAGATTAAACATTAATAGACAACTCATGACACTATTTCAAAAAGGGGCATTGGAGTTCTGGCAAGTCTTCTGGTCAATATTTATCCCTCAACATCACTAAAACAGGAAGTGAAGCAATTGAGGGGGTTTGTCATACAAGTTTGCAAAGCAATGTGGGTGACATTTCTTGCCCCCGGACTGGATGACTCTCTTTTGCTGCTATCTTTCAGTGATAACAAAGGTGTTAACTTTTTCAGATCTGCTGTCATTGTAGGTCAGCCACCTGATGAGTGCACATCTATATTTTCACTGTCTTCAGTGGCTACCTGGAATGCACCTCTCTCAGATGTTCCAGGCAACAGCTTTACCTAATAGTTCTCAATCTAATGTAAGTGCTTTGTGAATGAAACCAAAAGAGTTGTGAAGTGTTTCCTCATTATAATTCGATTCTTCTTGGGCCACTTGTCATAAAACATGAAGATTGATTTTGCAGTGGAGCTTTCTGTGAAAAAACATCTAGCCTTATCCTGATTGTATACAGAAACAATGCTAGAAACAACAAAGAAATTCCACGTCAAGCAGTATTTTGTAATATATTTCATTGCTGACAGTTTAATTTCTCTAGGAGTACACTGGCTATTTGTATAAAATTGGTCAGAAAGCTTCCATTTTAAAATAATGAAAAGAGGAAATTTAGCCCCTTGATATTTTACCTGTAGCCCTTTCACCACATTGCTGTTTTCCACATTGGGGAATTTTTCCTGAGCCCAGCCAGGTAAAAATATCTTGCACATTGATTTAATTCTAAAACAAAAAAGTAAATAATTCACATAGAACAATTAATAAGAAAATAACTTTGAATTGCACTTTGTATCAGTAGTCATTAACTGATCCTAAATTGTGGTCTGATATGAATAATAAAAAGCATCTATTCATCTTATCCCACTCATTCATGAATCCAATTTTCTACCTGAAACCTCAAACATCTTTTATAAATTTAATTGGTGATTGTCCATGTACAACAAGAAAAAAAATTGAATTGTAATTGACCTTCACCTAAACAAACATTGCTCATCTAACCAGCATCAGATTGTCACATGCAATAACTGGAGAATCTTTATATATTTCCAGATTTTGTCTCCTCACGCACAATGTACTGATGCATGCTGGGATATGGTCATGGACCTGTTCTCTCTAGAATCATACTGATGAGTTGAAAAGCTTCTTTGTCAGTTCTCTATAATCTTGCATGATGCAGAAAATAACCATCAAACATGTTCCTACAACTAATTGGCAGTCTTGATCAGACATGCGGGCAGAATTTTCCTGGCAACAAGCTAGAGGGTTTGGAGGTGGGAAGGATGGGAAAATAATGGGACTCCGCATTAAGATGTCTCCCTGATGCATTCCTGCTGTTGGGTAAGTGTTGATGGATGGGCAGGAATGAAAATTGAAATGTAATAAATGTCATTAAGGCCAAAGCTGGAGGTGATGTAGAGAACTTGACAGCATGCTTGTGGCAGACCCGATCCCTGCCATATTCAGTGGTTGCCAGTTTAATGGAGGCTGCTTCTCAGTAACAGGCTGTAGAAAACTGGAGCCAGCAAACAACTCCATCCCCAAAGAGAAGTCTATTGGCATCAAATGTCACCTTGGCAACCCCTCCCCCTTTCTCTGTACTGATTCAAGTGGAGGAATTTCTACTCCAGTCGTAGAGCTTTGCTGCTTTCTCCTGTCTTGAACAGTGATTTGATTTATCTAACAGCTCTGACTGTAGTGGTTGGAATGATGTCAGCCATGTTAATCTCATAGAATATGAGTTCCCTGATTGGTCCAGGTTAACAGCCCCAATCAGGAGCCCTGGTTGACAGATATAAACAGGAGTTTCAGAAGTTCTGGTCAATCTAGGATCCGGCTCACTGCTAGCTAGGTCAGTATCATGTACTATGCACATGTAAATAAAGGGTTACTTGGTGAAGGGATATGGGCCCTCATGGAATGATTTCACAGACAGCACCTTTTATTTTCCTACCTGTTCCACCAATGCACAGCTCTCACAGTAAGGCTGCTGAGGACCTAGAGTTGCCAGCCCTGTGAATTGGTATGCAGTATGAGGAACATACCAATGTCCTCATTGAGAGATGTCTCCAAAAAAAATCTCAATTTCGCTTCTGTCAAGTGCAGGCTCAGACACTCCATTTGGTCCTCCCATTGGTGGTCTAAAATGTTACCCATGATATGAGAATGAACCTGGTCAATGTAACGGTCACAAAAGGTACACTATGGAAATTCAGAGGCTCTGAGTAACAGGCCGTTTCTCTGTATACAGGCATCTGTGAGTGCTTGATGTAATCATGGTGTGGCTGATATAGGACAAGTTTCCATTTCTATTAACATCTCTCACCTTCATGCAAAAGGATTTTACAAAATCTGGTAACTCTTGTTGAATTTCCTGTTCTCAGAAATGCTTTATCCTTACCAATAAGGGAAGCCACAATATGCAAATAAAAACATTTAAAATGGCATATTTTATTGTTCTGTGTTTTAATAATTTATCTTTTTTTTTGGAAAAATACAGTAATGTGTTTGTAGCCAGAGCTACATACAGGTATATGGAATAATCATCCACTAACTTAATTTGTTAATGTTGTAACCATAGGCAACAGTGCACATGCTGACTTTTTCTGAGGGAAACTTTCTATCTTTAACAGTTAAGTTTATTTTCAACTTATTTTCAGTTACAATATTAAAAGTGCAGACAGTTCAATATGCTCTCATTACTAATAATTCATCTCTGAATTGTTTCAAATATTATTTGTTGGTCTACTGTTAATGGAGCTTCTGGTAAGCAATGGAAAAGTCTGCAAAAGGAGATTCCTGTGAGATATAGGGCTGGATGAACACAGCAGGCCAAGCAGCATCATAGCCTGCTGTGTTCATCCAGCCCTGCACCTTGTTGTCTCGGATTCTCCAGCATCTGCAGTTCCTACTATTCCTGTGAGATATGTTTGCTGAATTAAATAATATTTAAAATGAATTTTTCTCTCCCTTCATTTCCACCCTTTTTTATCCTCTAATGTGTGAACCCTTGATGACTGAAGTTCTATGAGTGTGGACTGTACTCTTGATTCCTTGCCTCAGTTGACATTCTTATTGACAAACCTGGGTATTAACTGTTAGCCATTTTACTGAGGACAATCACAGAGGAGGCCATTGTTTCTGAAGTCACTCAGATGGAACTTAAAAGAATTGCAAATAAGGTATGGGGCATTTGATTTTATAGGCAAAGAGAGAAGGGAACTTTAAATTTTTCCACCAAAAGGGAAATATTTGGAATTGGAGTACAACCAATGAAAATTTAAATCAAACAGCATATAAAACAGCCAGTCAATCCAATCCCATTAGTTTCATGCTGATTACTCAGGTTAAAGTCCCCCATTCCATCTCACATTTCAGTGGCAGTAGGAACAGGTTATGGATGGAAGAGAGCAATTTTGCAGAGTAGGTGTATGATTTTGAGTTTTTAGGTAGGATGTTGGATTTGTGGCTAAATGGAACAGTGGTATCACCACCCCAACTGAGATCAACTAACTCAACCCTGAACTGAGAATTGTGCTGTTAGACTTGGTACATATGGCTTAATTTTAATTGAATTAGAAGGAAACATTTTCTAAACAGAAACAATTTTCTTTTAATACTTTGTGCAATTTAAATATTCTGTTTGATCAAAACAAGTAACTTACCTTTGTCTGACTGATTTTGCAAATGCCAGAGTTAAAAGAAAAGCCGATGGAACGGTTATTGCCACACTTAGCTGCAGTGGAAGAGCAATGCTGTAATGGTCTAAAATTTCCAACAATGAAGAAATCAATTTAAAATAAAGAATAATTATCATTTTTCATAAATATTAATATATTTAAAAAATGCAATTAAGTAGAATAAAAGCAAACAACTGTCGCAAGTTGGCAACTAAAAAGGCAGCGAAGAAAATAATGTGGAGGTTGGAAGGGGATATGAGTGGCATCATGGCTTTAAGGGGACATTAGGATGATTGATAAGAGGTCATGGGGACATGAGAGAGTCAATATTTTAGCTCAGTGTTGGGATCCCTGCTATTTGTTTTGTATATTAATGATTTGGACTTGAACATGGAGGGCACAACTGGGAAACTTGAAAACGACACAAAACCTCTCATGTTTTGGATAATGTACGGGATAGCTGCAAACTCCAAAATGATATTGATGGGTTGGTGAAGTGGGCAGGAAAGTAGCAGATGGAGTTCACCTCTGATAAGTGTGAAGTAACGCATTAGGGAGGCCAAACTGTTAAAAGGAATGTAATGAGAGGGGTATATGTAATGAGAGCTCTTGGTGTGCAAGTGCACAGGTCCTTAAAGGTAGCAGTACAGGTAGACAGAGTTGTAAATAAGGCATATGGAATATTCTCCTTCATTAGTAGAGGCATAGAAAACAAAAGTAGGGATATAATGATGAAACTGTATGACACTGGTGAGGCCACAACTGGAGTATTTTGTGCAGTTTGGTCACCACATTACAGGAATGACATAATTGCCCTGGAGACAATGCAGAGAAGATTTGCTAGAATGTTGCCAGGGCTGGAGGATTGTAACTACGAGGAGAGACTGGTGAGGTTGGGTTGTTTTCCTTGGAACAGAGAAGGCTGAGGGGTGACATGATTGAGGTATACAAAATTGTGAGGGATAGAGATAGAGTGGACAGGAGGAATCTGTTTCCCTGGTCAGAGAGTTCAAAAACCAGGGGTCATAGATTCAAGCTGAGTGGCAGAAGGTTTACCGAAGACATGAGGAAAACCGTTTTTTATGCAGAGGATGGTGGATGTCGAGAATTCGCTGCTTGAGTTGGAGCTGGAGACAAAGAGCCTAAACTTTTTAAGAAAGTACCTGGATCTGTACCTTAAATGCTGTAAGATGCAGAGAGATGGGATTAGAAAGGGAACCTGGGTGTCTTTGGGTTGGCATGGGCTAAATGGCCCATTTTTGTGCTGCATCATTTCTATGATCCTATGGTTCTATTTCAATGTGGTCATATAAAACCATTATAATATTTGTGCTGCATGACTGATTTCCTAAACTGTCACTTTCACAATGTGGTACTTATTGATAGCCAGTTCCAACAGTTTCTTGAATGGCAATGTTTGTGACATACGATATTAATAACTTGAGTAAACTGTTTGTTGACAAAGGATTTATTTAAGCAATCCGAATACATTGGGTGCTTTTTTGTATAACTAATGTGCGATTTTTTTCAATAGTTACATCAACAAAAGACTGGTAACTTTCTTTTCAGTCACGATGTCTCCTCATTAATGCTCATAAGGTGAGTTGGCATCAAAAGGGAAGGAGGTTGGTAGAGGATATGAGTGGCATCATGGCTTTAAGGGGCCATGAGGATGATTGATAAGAGATCATGGGGACAAGTAGATTGGAACAGAATATAGCAGGGGCCATGGAAAATGGGTAGATTGACACAGGGATATGAGAGGCCATTGGTACGTATAGGAACATGTTGGCATGGACGGAATATGAATAGTGAGGGAATGCGAGCAGGAGGAATGTTTTCTGTTTTAACGTTTTATTTTTAAGATTTGAATTCAGTGCTAGTTTCCAGCAGACTTACTGCTGTTTGGTGGGACTTCTAACATAACGTAGATGTTGTAAAAATTGTTTTTCAATTATAACATCTTGTCTTTTTTCAAAATTTGCTGTTGCCACCTGCTAATGCCATAGGCCTTTCTGCCAACTGCTGAATGTTTGACAGTTACCAACCCCCACCTCCTAATACCACTTCTTTGCAGACAGAGCACATTTGTAATTCCCTTCTTACTTTAATTCTTGACAAAAGAGTAGGGACAACAAAGACAGGCCAAGTTGTTAAGAATGTATTGCAGCTTCATTGGACCCATCTGCAGGAACCCCCACAACTCAGGTATGTCAGCAAACTATCATTTTCACAATGTGGTACCCATTGATGGACAGTTCCAATTCTTTCTTGAATGGCAATATTTGTGGCATAAGATATTAATCACTTGAGTAAAGTCTTTATTGACAAAGGGTTTATTTAAGCAATCCTAATGTATTGGGTGTTTTTTTCTATCAATTAATGTATGTTTTCTTTCAATAGTTACATTATCAAAAGACTGGTAACTCCTATCTGCACTCAAAAGAGAAGCAATGCCTATATAAGCTTTACTATTAAAATGAAGCAGTTATCAGTATGTCAAAAGCCATTAGTAGACAATGGCCACATGGAGAGCAACACATCGATTCCATTTATCCAATAAATATGGAAAACCATCAGTTATGTCTTATTCACAACAAATTATAATTTTGATCATATTACTCTCTTCAGGATCAGCAGTAAGTGATGAAAAAAAGTAATCAATAATCAGCAATCTAGTTTGAACAAATGACAATTTGTTTTGTTCATCCAGCTATAGCACACATAGAAGTTTTGAAAAATAAAGGTAAGATGAGAATAGAGTAAATGCAATACGCTGACAAGTTTGTGCGGCTCCACGTGGCAGTATTTTCAGGTCAGAACTATTTGGCAGTGGATAAACGTATAAATATAAAAACTGGATGTAAAAACTCAAGCATCACTAATATGTCAAGACTGAGTTTATTAACTGGCTGACTTTGGAGGACTTCATCCAACAGTGGTAAGACCACATGCACAAAAATTAAATTCAACTATTGTAAAAGATATACAGCAAAACAGCTAAACTCAGTTCTGGGAAATAAGGACCATTGAGCATACAGTGATTGGAGCTGAAACGTGCCAGGTCAAATCAAAAGCACTGCTACAATTTACCTGAGCCTACACTTCTCTGAGCTGATACAGGCAGGTATCATTCTAAGATAAAAGATGATACACCCATATAGAGCTATGTTCTATTTAAAACACTTTAAAACAATTAGTTTCCCATATATGAAAATTTTTAGCCATGGACCTCAATTTTGCACAGTTAGTAAGTTATGATTAAATCAACATTTTAAAACCATTTTTCACATTTTTCATTTTATAATATACATTTTCTATCAAAGTGTATACAATGCTATGCAGGCATTTATCATTAAAACACCAAAGTCTTTTTCCCAGGATAGTGGAATCCAAAACTAGAGGGCATAGGTTTAAGGAGAGAGGGGAAAGATTTAAAAGGGACCTAAAGGGCAACTGTTTCACACAGAGAATGGTACATGAGGAAGTGGTGGAGTTGCCAGCGGAGGATGGGTATATGAATAGGAAGGATTTAGTGGGATATGGGCCAAATGCTGGCAAATGGGACTAGATTAAATTTAGGATATCTGGTGGGCATGGACGAGTTGGACCAAAGAGTCTGTTTCCATGCTGTACAGCTCAATGACTTTATAACTGTATCTATTGCCCATTAACATATTTGTCAATACACAGTTCAATTTCTATTCAAACAATTTGACGCATGAATTTGTTGAAATCTTAACCAGACATGATTACAAGGTCTGGATGCCAGAAGCAAGGTAATGTTTGCTACTTTTAATAACAAAGGGCACTCCCTCAGATGGGTAATCCTTAGAATTTCAAAAAACAATAATTGTTTATTTTTGAATGGTGTCTGTCTGCCTTATAGATCCCTGCCTTATTAAGCTGATGAATGATGGATTATAATTGTACTGTCTACTATCCACAGGAAATAAAACAACAGCTTATCGAGCCTACTTTATCACCTCTCAGATCTGTAAATTCCACCACTGAGAAGCACAAGAACAGTACTGTTAGGGGAACACCATCACCTCCAATTTTCTCTGAAAATCATACACCATCCTGACTTGGACATACAACAAGGATTGTAATGGTTATAGGATAAGAGTCCACCACTATTTTAGAGAAACTAGAAATGGGAATAAACATGACCTGTCCAAGCTTGTCCAAAAGCAAATTTGAAAATTGCTTCCCTGCGTCACTACATTTCCTCCATGGTCAGGATAAACCCTTTTCACATCTCAGTCACTCCCAGACTTTACATCTCTAATGTCTCCCTTGCTGACCTCCTACACTCCATTCCAAACCATTCAAAATTTCACTGCCCACATACTGTCACACAGACCGGTGTGACTGTTATGACAATCTTTGCCTACCTTGTTCTGCTGAAAGGGGATTCAGCATCTCCTATTGGCCAGCTAGCTTTTTTCAGTGTTTCCAGTGTTGTTAGCCTGGGCTGCTACAGATTTCTGAATTCCTTTCCCAAGCAACCCTTTTCCCTATTTCGACCAGACCCTGGCTGATGTTCCACAATTCATTACGGTTCCTGACAGGATACCCCAAACTTTTAAGTTCCCAGTTGAGGAGAGATGAACTGGCTCCTCTTCTTTATTTGCCCACAACCTCACTTGGTTGCAACAAGTTTAATTTAAAATGATACATTCCTCGAGGGACATCTGTCTCCAAGATGCAAATGGACTTTTATTTTAAAAGAATCCAAGTTAACCAGCCTTTCTTGAATTAATAAAATGAGTGACTTTGTTAATTATTAAATGAGAGAAGAATTAGTTACCTAACACACATATACACAGATTAAAAATAAGATGTGAGTCCAAAAAGATAATATTTTGAGATACATGAATAGTGTTTTAATTGTTTGTGAAAAACAGATAGTTGGACATTGTGGTCCAATGGAGGATATTGGTCTTGTTGACATTGGTAGATGAACAGTCAGCTGCATGATCCTTAGTTTTGCAGATTGGTTGAAGCTGTAGTTCTGATGCCTGATAATACTGAATTCCAGCCTTGAGGGTGAGAGTCCTTTGTTGTCGTGTTTCTATTTTAACTGGTTTGCAGCAATCAAAATTGGGAAGACTTTCACCTGCAAGGTAACTAGGGGATATTTCTTCAACTGTGACTGTCAATAGCACACTAACATTGAAACTCAGATTGGCACACATAAGAATGCTTAGTGCCGCTAGTCCACTCAAGCAGAGTTGAAATTTACTTTTCAATACCTATTCTTGTGTATTCTTCAAAAGGGAAAACACAATGTAGCTGCAGTTTGAGATATAATTCACAGGGGATGGCTTGCTGTTGAGTAGGGTGTCATCAGCCACTTATTACCTTTATAGTCACAAACAATGATAGTCCAGTCTGTTTAAAATTTCTTTGACACTTTTGGTGTTATATCCTATCAGTCTATCTCCCTCTCTTCAGAGAAACATTTAATTTACATCCACATCCATTTTTGGCTATATCAGCCTTTTTAGAAATTACATTTTGAAACTGCAAGTTGAAAATGTCCCCAGTACTTTATGATTATGATCTGTGGTTGCAACACTTTACCTTTTCCAAGTCAAATGATGCAAGATTCATTCCCATTTTACTATAAAGAGTGAACAAGAGTTGAATATATATAGCAGACACTCTCACAGTACATTCATTCTCTTAGCCTTGGTTAATGTCATTTTCAATTCCAACTGGGTTTCTAAATGTTCTGCAGAGGGTCTACAAGTACATTTGATTTCCTGGCAATGGGGGTGATTTTGTGTCATTAAGAAACAAGTTCCAACAGAATAACCTAACATTCTTGGTCTTTTACTTTTCCACAAAAGTTAATGGGTTGTGGTCAATACAGACTGTTTTCCTTGTACCCATTCCAGTCATATGTCTCAAAGTGTTTGACAGCCAATAATGAATTGAGGGTTTCCTTCTCTACTGTGCAGTACCATTTTTGATGTTTGTTTAGTTTTTGGAGAAATATCCAGTTGATGTCTTTGATCTGGATTTGTCTTCCTGAGGGAGAACAACCCTTCTCTGATGACACTTGCATTGCTGATTACTTTCATGTTTGTTCAAAGTTTGAAGCTGAAGTATAGACTCACTAGTAAAATGTGCCTTCAGCTTTTCAAAAGCAGTTTGGTATTTCTGAGTCCAAACTACTTTTGTTTTTTCCTGTAGTAGGACTGTCAGCAATGAGTTACTGTAATAAAGTTTGGGATGAACATCTGATAGAATTTGTACATTCCCAAGAACTTCATAATTTCCTATTTTGTTATAGGAATGAGAAACTGTACTGCTGCTTCTACCGTTGCAACACTCGGCCACACTTAATCTTGACCCACTTTGGACCAAAGCAGGTGTCCAAGATTCATCACTACTGCTAGCAAGACTGACCACCAGGTCAGCTGACTGTATTTTCCAGAAAATGGTTTCTAGTTGCTCTAAATGTGTTTCCCATATGTTGCAGTTCACTAGGAGGTCGCCTAGGTAAACAATGTAGATGCACTTGCCACTATCTGGTTCATCAGCATTTGAAAGGTAATTGGGGCATTTCAGAGTCCAAACAGCATGCAATACTATATAACCCACTTGGAGTTATGCAGTTTTCACAGCAGTAAGGTTCAGACCTCTATGAAGTTTTGGAGGTTTGAGCTCATTTATCTTTGTGGGATACGTTAACTTGCACTAGTGACTGATCCACTACAGATATAAAGGGGCTCTGATATTAATGGGGATGGGAAGGAACAGAGGTAGCTTTTCTTTTAGACCTGGAAATTGAAAATTCCAGAGACATGGATGTCCCATCAATATTAACTGCAGGAGCTTATCATCATTTTCTTAGCCTATTTCCTGCAAGGCAGCTGGTCAGATTGACAAACAGCCAAATGACGGGCAAGAAAGCAATGGTCGGAAGCTGCAAGAAAGCAATGGTCGGAAACTGCAGATCATGAGGAATGCTTCCTAGCAATTGGGAGAGAATAGGATTTGGTCTGGAAGATGGCAACCCAGAGATCAAGAGGTAAGATAGGGCTCAACAAGACAATCTGGGAGGAATGAGGGTGAACATTGGGAGGGTTGTTAGACCTTGTAGGAGGCTTGAGACCAGCCCTTGATATCTGCAGGTTGTGATCGGTGTAAGTGAAATAAAGATTTCCTACAAAGAGAGCTCTGAAAGGGTACACCTTTGGAGCTCTTGCCTCTATTTTCATTCTTGGATTTCCCAAGCACAGATACCTCCATGATCAATTTCCAAGGGAACCCAAGTAGTCCTCAGACAGGCCAGGAGAAAAGAGGGTGAGGCCTCATTTAGTGGAAGTGCCACAGGGGAGTGTAGCAGAAGCTGAATATCCACTTGATCGTAGTAATATTCCAGGGAAAGTGGAACAGTTTGGAGAAAAGTCATTCCTTAAACAAAACGGAGAAGTGAAGGGTGCATGCTGAACAGCAGCCACTCATAGTGGAGACCACTAGGGGCATATGAGTGAGGTCTCAACAGTGTTACCACTGGGAGATAAAGGAACAATGCCAAGTTTCAACTGATCCAATTAGATTGATATAAAGTTCAGTGAGAATAGGCTGTAGGATGCAAGTGCAGATATCCTATAGGACGCAAATGTCAGACAATCACCGACAGATCTCCTAGAATTCAACCTTGCAAAAATGCTCAAATTTGGAACATGGATTTTCAAACTGAGCAGTGAAAGGTTTAAATCCAGAAAGGTTCCCAAAGCAGGTTTTGGACCCAGTTTAAGACAAAGGGAGTGCTGCAGATTGCATGTCTGATGTCATTCCATTTTTGTATTGTCCGTTTATAGTTATCTTGTAATGGAATGTTTACCAAAACCAAAAAATATTGTTGTATTTGTTCCTGATGGTGGGGAGGAAAACGATAGTCCATTTTAACATCTATCAATAATTTGTCTTCAATCATCTGATTTTAAAAACCAGTGAACTTTCAGGCGTTAAATTTTTTGAAAGGAGAAATACTACTTAAGATAGCTGAACAGTTTTAGCCAAACTCATGATACCATCAACAAACAACAATCAGTGTGAACTGAAACTAACATTGTTATAAAAATCCATTAGAAGTCAGATATACATCTCTTGTTTGAGTTGCACATTTCTAGAAGTTTCACAAATTTGGCTAAAAGTTGTCAGCAGGTTATCCAGCTTGAAAAAAAAAACAAGTGAATAGGTTTACAGGCAAACTGCGTTTGGGTAGAGCAGAGAGAAGGAAAATGGATTTATAACAGAACCTGAAGACGGTTTCTCTCAGTCTCTTGAAGCCAACACCTCATAGAAAACAAACCGGAGGAACGTCCATTCTCGGAAAACACGAAGACATTTACAAATTTTTTCAGTGCTGAGAATACATTACATCAATTAAGCAACAGTAGACTCAGGTTAAAATCCAACATCTCAAGGTCTAATAACTTCAAATTGCCAATTTTTGATCTTCCTTCTTGTACAGGCTTCTCTTCCCCTCTAGATACCCGAATTGTATCTTCAACATTTTAATGCCTTGCTGAATGACATACCTGTCATCTTATGGCCCTCCATGTAATGATCCAGTAACTCACAAGAATTTCCCACAAGTTGAATTCCTCAAACACGCCTCAGTTAAAAAAGGGCATGTCAGAGCTAGCTTACAGTTATGATAAAAAAAATTTCTCCCCACTCACCCTCACATATGTTGACTCTGACATTAAAAGTTCCTGCAATGCATTACTTACCTTGCCTGATGGTCAAGTCTGCTCCCTTGGCCCCTTCTCCTGCAGCTGTTGTGGCAGTCATATACACGATGTAAACATCATCAAAACCAAGTGTCAGCCAATAAGTCCTCACAGTTGGATTTATGACATTATCTAACAAAGTACAAAAAAAATTCTTAATTAACAATATGGTCCATATTTATTTCTGTTCCAATTAATTCTAATAATGTCTATGCCATCAAAACTGCCAAAACTTTGAATACTGAGGAAATACTAAATTCTGTAATCATTTACTCTTCCTCCTTATTTTTTCATTACAAACCTGTTCTTGTCACATCACCTCCTTTTGCCTTGCACCATCACTTGTGTAATCACTCCTGCCTTCCAAGCTATTACAAACATCTCATTCATTCTTTTCCAATTCCCCTTTTCCAGGTTCTGTTCTTGTTTAAAAGCTTTTTCACTTTGACCTGAAACATTAAATCTAATTATAACATCCAAAAATGGACATGCTTGTGTGAGGTAGAAGTTAAAAATTCAAACATTTCAAATTTAACTCCAACAATTTTTGAACCTGTGACTTCTTGTTTTAACACAACATTTAGAAAAGTAGTGGTCATGAGCCTGCTGTGCTATTCAATCAGGTCTTGGCAGATCTTCTGCCTCAACTCCAACTTCTAATTCTCTCTGCCCACACCATTGATTTCCTAAGTATGTACATGGTGTAGTGCAGTAACTTACAACGGATCATTTGACAGCACCTTCCGAATCCACAATCTTTACCACCTGGAGGGACAAGGACAACAGATGCTTGGGAACACCACCATCAAGTTCCCCTCCAAGTCATACACCATCCCAACTTGGAGCAGTAATTGCTGTTCCTTCACTGTCATTGGGTCAAAATCCTGGAACTCCCTTTTTAAAAACATTATGGATGTAGCTACATCAATAGATCTTTTTTAAAGTCGTAAGTTTTAAATCTTGATGTTGAGAAACTTGGATATACTCATACAAAGAATGTAGAAAGTTAGAGTGCAGGTACAGAAAGCAGCATGGTGGCTCAGTGATTAGCACTGTTGCCCCACAGGGCCAGGGGCCCGGGTTCGATTCCATCCTTGGCAACTACCTGTGTGGAGTTTACACATTCTCCCTGTGTCTGCATGGGTAATCAGCCATGGGGAATGCACGGTTATAGGATAAGGGTGTGGGTCTGGGTGGGATGCACTTTGGAGGTCAATGTGGACTCCATGGGCTGAATAGTCTGCTTCCACAATGTAGGGATTCAGTGAAAAGGACTGCAACAATTTAAGATCACCACCACTTTCTTAAGGCAATCAGGAATGAGAAATGAGCCTTAAGTATACTCAACAATGAAGAATTACAAACCCTTTGAGATAGGCAATTCCAAAGATTCACAACTTCTCCTCAGATCTGAACGATCAACTTCTTATACTGCGGCTGTGCCCCATATTGTAGATTCTCCAGTCAAAGGAAACAACCTCTGTCTACCTTGTCAAAACCCTTCAAATAATAGACGTTTTAATTAGGTCATCTCATTCTTCTGAGCTCAAGTGAGTATAGGCACAAATGTGTGCCTAAATGTGGGGCAACCCATGTTCTTTGGGTTTTACTATTATGCCAACTCTTGTAATTGAATACTGCCACTGGGTCATTTCTGAGAACAAGTACCTGAAGATTTATTTACAGATAGAAAATAAAATACATTCTAACACAATTACAGGCATTGGTATAGTCTGGGCTCAAACTGAGGTGATTAATTAGCTTTCGTGATGGATTGCAAAGTACAGTGAGCTTCTACCTTTATAAAAAATACTTCCCACTCAGTGATACTGAATTGATACAAGAATACCGCATGTAACTCTGATGTAATGACTGAACTCTCTTAAAGGTATGTGCTTGCCTGATCATAGATTCATGCAATATTACAATACCTTTCACTTCTAGAAGCAAACTAGTGAACCTTTGTTGCACCGCCTTTAGAACAAGCATTTCCTTCTTTAGAGAGAGTGCAAAAATGCGTTAAGCACACCAATTACGGTCTTATAGCATGATTTCCTTATTCTTGTACTCCAATCACCTTGCAATAAGAGCTTGTGACATTTGCCATCCTATTGCTTTCTGTACCCGCACTCTAACTTTCTATGTTCCTTGTATAAGTAAATCCAAGTGTCTCAACAACAAGACTTAAAACTCATGACTTTTTAAAAGATCTGTTTTTCAATTCTAATCACTTTACTACGTTATATTTTGTTTGCTGCATTGTTGCCATTCAGTTAATTGTCTCTCTTTGCAGTCTCTGTTCTCCTCACAGGTTACACGGCCACCTAGCTTTGTTTCACCTGTCTCTTCAAAGTTAATAGATAGTAAATATCTAAGGTCACAGCACTGACCCTTGTGATATTCCACTAATTGCGGCCTTTAAAACGTCCTGCTTAGTCCTGTTCTTTGTTTCTGGTCCATTAGGCAGTCTTCCATACACACTTATATATTTCCTCCAACTCTATATTTGGTAAATTAGCTTGGAGTGGTTACTTTCCTCAAAGTAGTCACAGATGGAGACAGATCCTACAAATAGGACTCGGCTCCCGCTGTTAAATCCGGGATGAAGTGGGGTTCCTGACTACTGAACATCTTTGCTATCCTTTCCATCCCTTCCTCAAGTATCAATACCATTTCTGGCAGCACATGGCACAGTGGTTAGCACTGCTTCCTCACAGAACCAGGGACCTGGGTTTGACTGTCTATGTCAAGTTTGCACATTCTCCCTGTGTCTGCGTGGGTTTTCTCCGGGTGCTCCGGTTTCCTCCCACAGTCCAAAGGTGACGGAAGGGTCTGTTTCCATGCTGTACAGCTCTATGACTTTGGGTGTAGGTTAGATGGATTGGCCATACTAAATTGCCCTTAGTGTCCAGGATTGCACAAGTTAGGTGGATTAGTCATGGAAATGCAGGGTTACAAGGATGGGGCAGAGGTGTAGGTCTGGGTGGGATGGTCTTCAGAAGGTCGGTGCAGACTTGATGGGCCAAATGGCTTGCTTCTGCATTGTAGGGATTCTATGATATTCTATGATTAATAGTTTATCTCTCTAACAGAGTGTCTAACTTGCTTCCGTTTTGATTTCAGATTTCCAGTATCCAAGATTAGAAAGGAATGTTATCCACCAGAATTTTCAAATAAACATTGTTAGCACCCTCTCCGAAGTTGTATGTAAGTCAATCAATTGCAGTATTAGTAGAAGAACAAACTGTTCCAATCATGGGCAAGCTATGACCACGAGAGTAGTTAACCTTTAAGCCTGGTCTTCAGTATGATATCAACCACTGGCAGATGCATCTAAATATTCTGAATTAGTTTGAAACATGCTCACAGCAAGTCTCCCATACAATGTGTCTCTCTATTAATAAATACAATGGCAAGTTTGTTGATAAAAAAATTGTCAAGTATCAGTTTGGATTAGGTGAAAATATGAGAATCAGAAGTCAGGAATATCACAGATTCTAAACACACTCCATAATTTGAGCAGGCAACTACATCATTGCTGTGCTAAGCGTGCTGTTTTGTCAGGCGTACTAACGTTTTTACAATAACTAATCCCTGACCATGCCTGCCTATTTAGCTGACAACAAATTCCATTTTACCAGACAGTAGCTGATGGGGATCCAGCAACGAAAACTGCACATGAAATGAATCAAATTCTCTTACACTCAGATTCCCAGAAGCAATTCAGGAACAAACTGCAACCAAAAAAAAATGGCAGCACTGTTTCCAAATTAGAAGTTTTCATAGAAGATCATAGAATCCCTACTGTGTGGAAACAGGCCCTTCGGCCCAACAAGTCCACATCGACTCTCGCAGCATCCCGCCCAGAGCCAACCCACCTATTCTACACATACCTGAACACTACAGGCAATTTAGCATGGCCAATCCACCTAGCCTGCACATCTTTGGACTGTGGGAAGAAACCAGAGCTCCCAGAGGAAACCCATACAGACACAGGGAGAATGTGCAAACTCCACAAAGGCAGTCGGCCGAAAGTGGTTTTGAACCTGGGCTCCTGGCGCTGTGAGGCAGCAGTGCTAACCACTGAGCCACAATGCTTCCCTTGATACTATTGCTGTCACATGACCTTAATTTTGGAGCTAACATAATTGACAATGCCAGTTTTGGGGACTAGGAGCTTTTCCCATGCTGACAGGGATCATACTTCAAAAAGAAAAAGGAGCTGCAGGCTGTCCTTACTTCTTATTGCAACTAGTTTAATATATACAGTACAGCTTCTCACTAAAGAGACAAGGACAGCACAGAATGTGGTATGGGCCATGGGAATCTTATACAAGTATCAGGTAGAGACACAGATAACATGATTTTGCATGACGCTCCTTGAGCTGTTCCTTGATTGCATTAAACTGTCTTTAAGTCACAATTACATTTGACTGCCCCATACCACATTTTTTCAATTAACGCATATTGACAATCACAGGTCCGGGGGGCTGTTATGGTGCATTGGTAAAGTTTCCACCTCTGGACCACGAGACCTAGGTTCAAGTCCCACTTGCTCATGAGGTGTTTAATGGCAACTCTGAAGATGTTGATTAGAAAGATATCTATCACTTCACACCAAGTATGAGAGATTGGGCAGCAGATGCCTGATTTCTGGGTCCTCATCATCTTTGAGGAGCAGGCTGGAGAGCATGGAAAGTGAGCTTGTGCTGGAGAGGAAATTGGATACATCCAGCCAACTTGTGTTCTATTCCCCAGCAGCCAATGAGAGCCAGCAATCATGGAGCAACACTTGTATTAAAATTTAGGCAAAGCTGGCATTTTGCTACAATAATTCATTTTTACCACGGGCTCTGCAATACAGACAAGGAAGGATGAGAACTTTTAAGAGAGTCTGAGACCCCAGGTTAATTTCTTTAAGCTCTAACAAGCAAACCTCTAAGAAGGAACAACCTGGTCTCTCAAAAGATGTACCATTCCTGGTTCAAATCCCCCCATAACAGATGGAATATGAATTCAATAAAAAAATTAAGGTCTAAAGAATTAGGGTCTAATGTGACCATGAAACCATTGTCAATTGTTGGAAAAACTCATCTGGTTCACTAATGCCCTTTAGGGAAGGAAATCTGTCA